CGGGGGTTTTTTGCCCCCCCCCCCCCCCCCAAACGACTTGATATTCAGAGGGCTCAATCCTACAGAAAGTTACACATGTAAGTGTTCCCGGGGGGCCACCTGCCTGTATGAAGTATGTGCAGACCCCAAGAGACTCCTGGAAAACGCCGCTGGACAAGGAAGCTGGTAGCAGGGAGAGCATTGGATGTGTTAAATAACGATGCTGACATTTTCAAACCTCCCCCTGGCTTGCTGGTGTAATCCTGTTTTAATATGGAATAGCCACCCATGCCGACAGGGTGTGCTCATCTGGCCAGCAAGTGACGTGGAAGCCGCGTTTTCATTTTAACCGTGCTGGTTTTCTAACCATAGAGTCAATCCTGCAAACCAATAGGAAAGCGGGCCTGTAGTGCACACCATTAAATTAGTAGATACATACTGTACACACCTACTTACCTACACAAAACTGCATGACCTGGTGCCAGGTCCTGCCCAGCGTTACATGGAAATCAAGGAGAACCCTCCTGGCAGTGGGTGCTAAGCACCAGAGTGAACAAGGGTGAAGGACTGGGCTCTTGAAACAGATACTAGCTTCCCACATACTGCCCTATACAAGCTAAGGGTACTTATGCCACACCAATGTGGGCACGTGAGTTTGGCCACAGAGAGCCCCTCCCTGACCTTAGTGCGATCCTGCACTAATATAACAGCAGGATCTGCCTTGCACGCTTCCCAGCACAGGACCTGCACCAAAGAGATGTGATGGAATCTGACAGCCGACGTCATGAGCGCTCGTGTTATGGCCTTGGACTTGTGACCTCTAGGCTATCAACCATGCGCCTTAGTGCCTGCACCACCCCAGCCCACCATCTTGCAGTGAAAAATAATCATCACATCTAGCTTTTATATGGTACCTGTCATCACCTGATCCCAGTGGGCTTCACAAAGGTGGTTTTAGCAGTGCTCTCAATTTAGTTGCATGCCAAACGGTGAAACTGAAGACAGATCAATTCAGATAGGCAGTTTGCAAAGTGCTTTGGGATGAAAGTCACCGAATATTAAACACTGAGGATTTATTTTTCATTGTTCTTTTTTTTTTTTTCCATTGTTGAGCTTCTGCATATATTAAAAGAAGGGAAATAATGCGTATACTCCAAATCGTCCCCCTCAGGAAACAAGTGTTCCCTGAGCGCTCCCGGCCTGATTCCATTGCATTGGCCCTCATCTCTAAAGAAATGAATGGGTTCGGTCCCAGCTCCCAACAATATCCGCACCTCCCTCTATGAATTGCTAGGACACTTGTGTTCTTCTGGGACTCTGTTAAATACAAAGTCCAGAAGGAAACAGTTAAGGACAAAGTATTCTCAACCAAGGTTACAAATGAGCTTCCAGAGGAAATCAGAGACTGAATCAGCACTAGGAAATACTGCAAAACCTTCCTTTTTGGTAATGCTTTTCCACGGCAATCAGAACAACATTCACAACCTTGCCTATTCCCCTCCCCACTGAAGAAAAAAATATCCTTCCCCAAGCAGAGCTTCCCAAAAGACAAACAGGGAAGAGAGCCAGAGGGTAGAGGTTTTCTTTGAGAGGCATGCAAAAAACACATACCCAGTCAGCAGCTCATTTTTCTAGAGCAGGAACGCAGGTATTATTTAGCTCAATTCAAACTGTTGCCCTGTCCCGCTCTTCAAATCCTTCTGCCGCCTATTTGACCACATATAAATTTAGGCTTCCTCCAAGTTTTTATGCTGGAGTATGTATAATGATAATCTTATATGCTATGAAATATATGTGTATTGTTATCTGTATTATTTCAGCATTTACAGGCCCCAACCAGGGAGTGCAACTGCTTATGTGAGACTCTGTTCAAACCTAGTAATACTCAGTGGGGCATAATATATAGATTGCAAGTGCATGGAGGAGTCACAGGATAAAGCAAACTAAGAGGATGGATGAGAAAGGAGGAAGAGGATGAACAAACCCATCCTAGCCTAATTTGCTGTCATGATAGCTCATGTCATGACCATGCTCTGCTTGCCGTTGTCATCTGGACTTCCTTGTAGCCAGCTCTGCAAAGGTGAGTCTTAAGAATGGATTTGAAGGCACATGATGCCTCCACACTCAAAAAAACATTGCTAATCCTGGGGTTAACCCACATTTAGCAAAACCCACAGAGGTTTTTCAAAGCAAAAGATTCCACTTTTCTTAAATGGGACCACCCCTTCATGGAAACGCTGCTTTGAGGACTCCTCCACTCCTGTTCATGGTTGCATGAATGTCTTTTCTTCCAGTTAACAGACAAGGGAACCATACCTTTCCCTTCTGTCTTCATACATCAAAAATGCTTCCCTGGAACAGAAGTGTTAGGAAAGAATGTGACGTTCTTAAGCTGCTATTAGCATGATACACAATGCGTCTTTGGTGGGAAAAATTAACTTCACTCTGCTTTCCCTCTAAATTTTTCTCTCTGTCTCAACAAGAAACGCAGGGGACAGGCAATGCTGCGCAGCCAGTGATAAATTCACTGTGGATTATCTAGAGGTGCTGCACAGACAACCCTTTGGGAACCACTGTCATTTGCATTGACTTCAGTGGGCTTTAAATTAAACCCAAATTCTAAATATCGCCACTGCAGAAACTTCCATCCCAAAGCATTTGACAGACCAACGTCCAAAACCTCCGCAAAGGTATTGTTTCATGAAATCCAGCCATCTCCAGGGTAAAACAAAAGAACTGCATAACACAGAACAGCAATGGACATTTCAGGAAAAGGAAATGAAAGACATAATATTCCTACTGAACTTGCAAGAAAGGAGTCTAGTTAAGCAGGATGCCATTACCTAACGTGCAATTTGCTCAGGTCATTCCCACACGAGCTGTTGGCTGAACAGAAACTGGTGTGCCTTAATCATGTTAGCCTAAAAGGCCACCTAGGACAGACTTCTGACTTTGACCAGGATTAACATTATTAACACTGTGCTTGCTATGGTAAAATAAATTAAAAAAATTAAAAAGAGGGGTGAGGGAAGAATTACTGATCTTGAAAGCTATATTTCTTATGCCTTGCTCCAGAAAAGTTTTCATGCTTTATTATTATTTTATTTAGATAAGAGAAAAATGCCCTCAAATCCTTTATTGGTCTTGGATTCCATAAATCAAAGTTACTGTGCTTAGTAAGCAGAGATGGAGTGATCCGGCGCTTTCTCAGGATACATTTCAGTGTGTAATATCTATGTTCCTAGGCAATACAAGCTTGTTTTCAGGAAATAAGCAAAGCATTATTTGGAATGAAAGCCCCTCACATAATTTGCCTGACATTTCATTTCTGTGAACCCGTGCTCACTTCCCCTTCATTCTGCGAACATCAGAACAATGTTATGCTTGGGTCTCTGGAGCAATATGGATATCAGCAGTACCTTGACCTCTGACCACAGGGGTTTAATCAGCCTCTGAGATCTACAATATGGAATAATATGAATCTTAATGCGAATGATGCAATGACAACTTTATTATCTTGGATAAATATGCCCAAGGCAAGTTGAATCGCATTTTGCATTCCTTTGTACTAACGTTTGCTGTTCCGTGGTGGGTGGAGAGGCTGAACATTGCCATAGGAGAGCATGCGGTACATGAGGTATTGCTTAGCATTTCTCTAGCGGTAGCACAAGTTTGTATGCCCACCTCTGTGCCCGATACACAGATGATGCAAGTCTACAGAGCCTGGCTCTTGAGGGCAAGCTGTGGAGTCTGATGCTTTTAGAGCTGGACATCTCAGATAACCCCCTGGAGGTAGCCAAGACAGAGGACAGGACTTTCTCTTCAAGATACCTTATAGCCAAAATCAGTTCAATCTCAGAATGAATCACACCAAGTTTGATCATCATGAAACAATTCACAGATGTTAAGGAAAGCCATGGATGATAATGCCCCTTTTACAGACCAGCAAAGAGAGGCCCAGAGAGGCAAACAGCACTACAGCATCACTCAGGGACTCATTTGTGATGCTGGGAATACAACTCACCTGTCACTCTTCAATCCACTAGACTCTGACCTCTGTGAAGTTCTTTTGGGTAAATGTGGGTTCGTGAGTCATTACCTTGCATCACAATTACACTGAGTCTCTTGAAATAAATCTGTCCTTTAAGAAAAATGCAGTGCGAGGCTGCAAAAAAACTTCCCCAACCGATAGCTTCTGGGCTTGCTTGTGAAAAATTAGCCATTTGTTTAATTGAAAAGAACAATTTATCAGGCTAATTTCCTTCTAGCAACCAGAGACCTTTCAAAACTTGATTGCAGTTAATGTGCCAGTGTTTCAAAGCATTTCATTCAACTATCAAGTAAGATAATGAAGACCTTTAATTCACTGTTGAAGGGCAAAGAGGCAGGAAGGGGTCAGGTATGTGAGCCGTCAGGGCAGCTCATGGGAGCGTGGTGCTTCTTAGGTTCAGCATCACTTGAGGAACATGCAACGATATGGGTGGCAGGAG